GCCGCCCCGCTCCGCTCCGCAGGCCTTAGTGCGCGGCCGAGCGAGCCCGAGGCGGTGACCGAGGTGCTTTCGGGCGCTCCGTGACCCTTACACAGACCCCCATGTCCTGACCGAGGTTTTCAGTTGTCTTAGAGCTGCAGTTGGAACGTGAAGGGCACCCTCCCGCGGCACTGGTTTACCTGGGGTTTGGAGGTGAGGTGTAGGTGGAGTTGTTACTTATAATCTTGTAACATTTTCTGTCCGAGTCGAGATTGGGATCTTACAAGTCGTATAAACTCAGTTGCCGTGTTTTTTTGGAACACATACCGTATGCGTACTGCTGTAACTTTGTGAACAGCGGTTATTTCGAGGCCACAGAGATTTTCTTGCACCCTTAGAGCCGCGTATGTCTCGTCAGCATCAACAATAGAAGTGGTGCGGGGTGTTACAGTTGCACACCACAGTGCCATGAGACACTGTGCTGAAAAGAATCCGTTTGCAGGCTGGGAATGCATGTCAAATTACAGGGCCTCTCGCCCTCTTTGCTTCTTGAGGAAACTTGATAGTAGTACGGGTTAGTCTGAGATGTAGAGTATGTTTGCTTTATCTCAGAGCTGTTTAAAAGCAAATTGTACGATAAAATTTGTGTGCATATTAGATTATGTGTTCATGTGAAGGGACATCCCTGACCTTTCAAAAAGTAGAGCTTGTCAGTGGGGGAGGGAAAGGTATCATAGCATGCGTAAGTATTTAATTTTACCAGAAAACAACAACTAATTTTTCTGGGATTAATTTTAAATTTTTATTGGAAAGTTAGCCATGTGTTTTGTTTTTGTTCTTTTTCAATTAAATTACACTTGGTTTTGTTTAAACACTTAATTTTGGATCACATCTCGGGAATTATTGTTTGTTTGTTTTTGTTAAACCTGACTGTTCCGTTTCATCATTTTACAAGTGTGATTCCTGACATGAAAAAGTAAACCTAAATTAGCTGAAAGTAAATACCGAGAATGACTGTTTTCATTTTAAGTGATGCAGTACAGAGTGCAAAAGGCAATTGAGAACTACTGCAGGCTGTGCAGGCTCCTGACTGTGAGCTGCTTTGAAGACTAGAGAGGACCCCATGTGATGTAGTCAGGAGAGTTTTGCTAAAGCTGTGACTGTGACCATGCACCTCTGCACACAGCAATACTAATTCTGTCTGGATCAGGTATAGGCATACAGTCATGTTTCTGATACATTACTCAGAGTACACAATGAAAATTTTATGCCAACCAGAGAGGGTGAGAGAACATCTGTCCTGAAGAAAGCCTGAAAAAAATCCATCAGTGTTATTAAATAAATACAGACTTGCAGAGTGAGCCTAGACTGGGTCATCTCTTATTGTCTGGTGTATGGAGCAACAAAGCCGTGTTTTAGCTCGAGACTAATTTTTCAGCCTCAAGCCTTGCTCCTGGAAGATTCCTTTTATCTCACAAAGTTCTGTCAACAGGGATTTCATTCAAGTAGTTTGGTTTGCCCACACACAATACATTTCTGGATAGAGATCTAAATTTGTACAATTAACTTTTGTGGATTTCTGTCCTGTAGACATTGAATTCGTTGTCAGTAGTCGTGCTGAACACTAATGGGACTGCTCATCCAGGTAAATAGCGTCTACCAGTGTTTTCACAAGCTTTAGACACTGATCCTACCAATAGGATAGCAACTCTATACGACTTAAGTGAGTGGGATAACTTATCTCAGTAAAGTGGTGAATGTGCATATATATGCGTTAATGATGCAGATCTCAAGTTCTTTCTAGCTGTTCATCTCATGCCCTCCTGAAATCTGTCTAGAGTTCTTGGTGCTATAACAGCAGAGTCATATTATTTTATTATTCTTTCTGTTACAGAAAATACCTTCTTTGATGAGTATTTTTTCTGAATAGGATGATACAGAATCATTTCCAATAAGTTAATTTATAGTATTTTGGATTTTTATTTAACAGCTACAACATACTGTCTGTTTCAGCTAACCATGTCTTTAAATTCATCTACGCTTTTAAATGAAGAAAACTTTCAAGGACCAAAAAGAAACATTGACTGTTTGGAAAGTCTAGAATTGCAGGCTCCAGCATCGTTTCAAGACAACCCACTGCAACAATTACAGTTAGCATCGCAGGAAGTACTTGAAAAGGCAAAAAAGAGTGGGAGATCAAAATGCCCCCGATGCAGCAGTTCAAGGATGTTTTATTGTTACACATGCTTTGTTCCTGTTGAAACTGTCCCTACCAAAGAAATTCCGACTGTGAAGGTTAATACTTCTTATGGATTTTTTTTATAATATTCTTGTGCCTTTTAGTTACTGCAGACAGAGAACAGACAGTCTGTCTGTGACCATTTCTTTTCTGATTCATTCTTTATGGCCATTCATCTCTAACACAGCTGTAAGTAAGAATAAACTACAGATAGATAAAATTACTGTTCTTTTCTGATGAATTACATGTACGGTCATTGACAATGTTCCAGTCCTCACATAAACATTAATTTATCTCCTAGATGAGGAGATGAGCTGAAATCACTCAGGTTCTCGTGCAAACGACTATGTTTTCACTTAGTTCTTAAAAGTTTCTTTACAGTGCTCTTACCTTCATTTTTCAATATCTAAAAACTCTGGCCAGAACAGAGCATATTGTGAACAAAAAATATGATTTTTCTATAACCAAGAGTGAATTTACATAAAATGCAAGCTAAAAGGCATTCCTAAATGTCATGGTTGTATAATTCAGATAACCACTCTTAAAATATAAATAAAGAATAAAAGGTGTAATGCCCTTCAGCTAAAATGCTTAGAGAAATCATCAAAAGAGGACGGAGGGACATTTTGCGAAATCACTTAGGAACTAAAATGCATTCTGAAGACACTCAGTACTTTGAAAGTATCAGGAAAATACTTTAGAAGAACTTTAGAAATTTGACCTGGTGCATTTAGGGGTACTTTCATTGAAACGGCCGTTTTTGCAATAGCCTGAATACCAAACACAGATAACTATTCGTATTTAGGACCATTATATTGCTCAGATTAGGACCACGTCGTATTTACCTTCTTGATACCATTCTAGAGGTTTTACCTCACTACTGCTGCAGCATTCCGAATTGCGTTCAGTGCATACTTAGGTATTTACGTGAACTGAGAGAGTGTAACAGGTGCTTCTTGTCACTTGTCTCTAGTTTAGTTCTAAACCTATTAAAACAAAAACATTGTCAAAAATTGTCAAATATGCCTTAATTACATGCCCGTAGGGATTGCTCCTGGATTTTGCACGAATTTTTGTACCTGTATATATGATGGTAAATATTGCTTTTCTTTTTTTTTTTTACTGTAGTTACCTTTGAAGATTGACATTATTAAACACCCAAATGAAACAGATGGCAAAAGCACTGCAGTGCATGCTAAGCTGCTGGCACCTGATGATGTTACAATTTATAAATACCCTTGCATTCCAGAATATGAAGAAAAAAGACATGAAGTAAGAAATTTTATATAGATAGCAGAGCTTTGTTCTGGGGAGATGCAGAGGTATCTTCTGTACTTCCTCCCACAGTGGTACTGCACTCTGCTGGGAGAGAGTGGGAGGAAAGCAGTATCATGTTAATCCAGTCCACTCCATCTTGAGCTCTCTCGAAAGCTGGGCCTACAAATGTACAGTGCTTGTGGACTGTCTTCCAAAGCTTGGAAAAACAGTGCTGTCTAACCACCTTGAATTTCCTTTATTCACCGCCTTAGATAACGGATAATTTGATTCATTGTGTCCCGTAAGTATTCAACTTCCAGCAAGTTAAACAGCAGTGAGGTGTTGTGCTCATCATATTCAGCAGCTGGCCTGAAAAAAAATGAGTTATGAACTTGGATTTCTATGCTCATTTAAATGGTGTGATTAATCTGACATCTAGTATTTACACATTTGATGTCATTCATAATCATGCCCTATCTCTGGAGGTGTTCAAGGCCAGGGTGGATGGGACTTTGAGCAACCTGATCTAGTGGAAGGTGTTTCTGCCTCTGTCAGGGGGGGTTGGAACTAGATGATCTCTGAGGTCCTTTCCAACCCAAACCATTCTATGAAGAGGAGGATAATATACATATTTCATAGAGATGTTACTTTCTTCAAGGAATAAGCCATCAAGGAAAGCATAGGCAGCAAAGAGGCAGGAAGCTAAGGAAAAGCAGAAGGAGCAATGGGGAAGGCAGGCAAAAGTGGGAAGAAGTTGGAGTGACTTTGTATCGTCCAGGCTTTCCGAGTCACAGATTCTGAATGCTGCAATGAGCTACCGAAAAGATACTAAGTAAGGCCATCACTGGACTTCTTCATGTGAGATATTTGTGGGACCTGCAGTAGACACGGGGCAGAAGAGATTATTTCTTCTAATCTAAAATTTGTGAATTAAATTAGAAACTATTCTTTATGGCTTTCCTGCCCCATATACTGCAATGACAGTGAAATTTGAACTTCCTCAGGGCTGACACCATTGTCTTGGCTGAAAAAAACTTTTTTTTTCAGACGTAATAGAGCTGGTAGTAGATGCAAAGAGATGACATTTAATTAAAGATCTCTAATAAGTATCTTTGTTCGTTATTTTAACAGTCTTTTATCCTTTTAGACAATAGAGTGTTTTTAAGATTAATTTTATTAAATTATGAATTATTTTTTAAGATTACTTTTCATCTTCCCCTGACTTAAATGTTTGTGGGTAGGGATAGAAAATTTGTGTTCTTTAATGAAACAATTCTGCTGATTTATTAAGATTTTGTTGATGCTCAACTTTTTTTCTTTTCTTCATTTAGATAGCACTTGTATTTCCTGGCCCCAATTCAGTGTCAGTAAAAGATATTGCTTTCCATCTCCAAAAATACGCTAAGAAAGGTGCTTATGATAACAACGATGACTGTTCCAGAGAGCCATTTCTTAAGCAAGCAAGAATAGAACCTAAAGAAGAAGATCTAAATGAATGCATCTCAAGCAACAGCAGTGAAGGCAGTAGACTGAAGAAAATCATAGTCATTGACAGTACCTGGAATCAAACTAACAAAATAATAACTGATGAACGACTTCAAGGTAAAAAAAAAAAAAAAACACCTGGATATTGAGATGTTCTTGCTACAGAAATGATTAAGGAAAATATACATCTATATATCTGAGCATGGTATAAGTGTATACCTAACCCTGTATCTGTGTACACATGGAAGATTCCACAGCCTCTTTCATTGCTGTAAAAGACTGCCTGAGCTAAAGACTCCGTTACTTTCATATTATATAATTTGTTTTGCAAAACAGTAAGACTAATGTTAAGAAAGCATTTGCATTTATTTCTCCCACATCTCTACTGGAACAAATTTCCTTCATTTCACAGAATGGAAGCTGTCTTGTTAGACAATAGAAGAACAGTAGTTTGAATGATCTCTGAAGGAAGCCAGAAAGATTTCCTTTGCAGGTGGCTATCTGTTTTTTCAGGAGACCCAGGGAAAAATTTTTGTGTACACTAGGGGCAGACAGGCCACTAGAAGGTGAGAAAGGGATCTAGGAGATACAGCACAAATATGTCATGGCTTAGTTTTTTTTTCTAGTAAAGTTCTTTGTTTTGTGGTCATTTTAATGATCTCACTACTTTCCAGACAAAAGGGAATGCCTGCTTTTCCTCCACGCCCTCCCATCTCTGAAAGCAAAAACTTGTAAGTCTGCAAAGGCTTTTTGTCTTAGGTTCATTTCAAGAAGTTTACAGTTAAGTATTTTAAGTAAAACAACAACAATTTAGCAATAGCATTCCATTTCCTTCGAGATAAACAGGAGTTTGAAAATAATTTCATTAGTGAAAAAGGTGCATTTAGCTGGAAGGCAGGCTGTCAGGTTTATGTGTAATACACATAACTGCTTACTGGTGCCTGCTTTGCACTGAATTTCACAGACTTCTTACGTGCAAGATGAATGTTGCCTTGCTGTCTAGTCGGTTTGTTAGAGAATCGCACATGTTTGTGTGATGTATCAGCTAATTAAAATCCTGTTAGTAAGTATTTAGTTTAACACAAAACGTACTCTATCAAATAAATGGAAGTATTGCTGTAAAGATTAATCACATGTTGCAAGTTACTGTAAAGCGTTTAGAACTTACTTTAAAAGGAGGAATTTAAGAAAAGTAACAGGCAGCCAGGGGAACTGAAGATTTCTGTGGAAGCTTATACAGTGTGTCAGTCAAAAATTCATGATTGTTGTTATTTTGGAGCTCTTAAAGAATGGTTTCCAGTTACCCCATGTGAATCCTGATCTGGTGGACTCTTCCCTTCTTTCTAGAACTTCATCTCTTTTACAGCTGTAGTCTGGTCCTCTGTTTCCCTGAGCACCTTTGAGGATTGCTGTATGGTGTGACTAGTGTCATGCAAGTGAGTCTCTTATCCACACCCAGGGAGAATTTTACCCTCCATATGGCAGGTACAACAGGGTGCACAACCCATGCATTCATTCCTTTCCTTAGTGCCTGGCAAAAAGGACATAAATTGCTCTAATAACTCCTTCTAGAGATTGCAATTTTGCCTTCCAAGATGAATGGGGCACAGTTTCTTTAGGCATAAACTGATGAAATTTTTATGTTGTACACACATGACAAATAGAGAACTATTGTCATTTTTCAGTACAACTACAAATGAAGTCATCATCCAACAAAATATTCCTCATATATTAAAGTTCAAAAAGGAGTGTTCATAATTCCAAATAAAAAAGTAATTGCTGCACTTATTCAGAAGGATGACGTTACAAGAAATACTAGATGGAACATTAACAAAGCCAAGAAAATGTAAAGAAAAGCCTTGTGTCTTGTAAGCCTGCATTTATATAGAGAGTAAATGTAATAATTGTACTGCAAGAGAAAGCAAATGAGTATATCAATCTTGAAAAAACCAGCGTAGAAAACTTGGACAAAAAAATACCTGAATATCTTGGAAAAGTGGAGTACTGTATCTTTAGAAAGCAAAACTAAAGCAATTGTGTTAAAGACAGGAAATATTTGAAAGTTTGTAATGGCTAGGATTGATTACTTCATTAACAGTGATCACTAGATCAGAAAGGAACCAGTCGTATCTAATGTTCAGCGATTACTTATCTGAGTGACGAAGCTTACTGGCAACATCAACATGGTTGTTAAAGAAACAGATTGCTTTGGTATTTTTCCTGTGAGTTTGATCCACTTTGTATTAGCAAAATGTCTGATTTTATTAGTTTATACATCCTTTTGTACAAGGCTGAATCATAGATCTGCTTCAGTAGTTTGGTTTTTTTTTTAAGTTTCGTGCTTGCTTTCATTTCCGCAAGAAAATGGCAGCCTTTGCTTACGCACAGGTAGGATATTTGAGGGCAGTAAATGGATGTTCTCTGAGGCAAACTCCCTTCATCCTCTTTTTCTCACAAGTCTCTTGTCCTCATCTCATATTTCCATCTTCTTCCCTCAAAATCACACGCAAGGGTGTGATGGAAAGAAAAAGTGCGAGTTCTGTCATGAGTTTCTACATTCTTTCTAAAATAAGATATGTAGATGTGATTCAGGGGGCTATAGCAGAGGTAAGGTGAATCCAAGGTATGTACACCCCTGCTTCCTCAGCCTAAATCCTTAAGTTACTTATAAACCTTGGGAATCTAAAAGATTAGGAAAGGAGCAAAATTCCTGCCTGAAGTAACTTTTTCAAGTTGTACCTCTTTAGGAAATTAACAGAATAATTAAAATAAAAATAGGTACATTAGTAAGAGCTTAGACTCTTACTAGCTACCACAGGTACAAACCATAATTAGTCATTATTTTGCAGCACTGGTATTTCTTGAAGTAGTGAATCTCCCAGTTCACTATACAAACTGTAGGGATGGAGAGGTGATGGAAGGCTCAGAGTAAGCAACAGGCGTCAGCATATGTGTAAACTTTACAACTTACATACATCTTGTTGATAAGAACTTAGAATCTCTTAGATGTGACATCAGTGACCACTTGATTAATGTAGGATTCTGCAGGTTTGAGCATTCGGTTGTTATAGTGGAGGGAGCACAGGGACTGTGCTGTGATAGGGTGAAAGAATGTGACACCAGGAAGAATAGAGGTCTCTCTGAAGGGTGTTGTCTGCCGTAAGACACATATACAAGGGAGTAACTTTCATAAGGTAAATTTGGTTACATTACCTAAGTAGATATAAAGTTAGTTGTATTTCCGTTTCGCTTGATTGCAGATTCATAGAAATGTTGATTTCTAATGAGCTCAAAGTACGTGGATGCTAAAAAAGCAAACCCAACATTTTGATTTCCTTAGTGTTGTAAGTTAGTATTGTAGCTTTCATATGAACGATCAGTATTTGTAATAAAACATTTTGGCTGTATAGATACAAATACAACACAGATTATAGAAAAATGCTCAGTGAACTGTAACCCCTAACCCCCTCTAATTTTTTTGTTACAAAACTCCTAAAAATCTGTTTGAAATGAACTGATCCTGCATTTGTGGTAAGCTCAGTAGTGTCAGTGGTCTTGCCTTTTATGACCTTCTGTTTGTCTTCAAACCTCAAATAGGTGGAAGTTTATTGGAGGAATCATCCCCTAAATTTGGTTCACTGCTGTTCAGGTGGAAACATTGCTGAATTTGGTGAAAGTTTTCACTTTGGTTAGGGCTGAGAATTCAAGTATTGAAACCTGTTGAGGGAAACAAGCTTAATGCACGTTCCTGTTACTATTTTGAATACACATGTATAGGGTTATTAGATGCAATAGAATCATAGAATGGCATAGGCTGGAAGGGACCTTAGAGATCATCTAATCCAACCTCCCTGTCATGGGCAGGGAATAGTAATAGACTGTGTTATTTTGAATTTTTAGTTCCAAAATGCCAACAATAACATTTAAATTCAATGATGGAATCTCCTGGGTTTTGGGTTTTTTTTTAAACACTGTAGGAGAGATTTCTTTTACTATGCAATATATCATACATTACTAACTGCAAAGCAAACAGCTAAATCCATCTTGCAATTACACTAGAAAGAATTAATGTAGTTTGAAGATAAAAAGTATGGAATTACAAGTGCTGCGCTCTCCTGAATTTGGAATTTATGGAAACTTCTCTGTCCATAACTTACGAGCAATACCTAATCCACATTGTTATTTGTATTATTACTTGTCATGACAAGTAATCATACAAATCATTTCATGACACGCATTTAGTATCTGATTTTAACGTTTAGAAGAAGATAATTTTATATCCTGATCCTAATATTGACAGGTGTATGTGCTATTCTTTATAATCCAACTATCCATCCTGCTTATGAAGTGATTATACCTTAAGGTGTTTTTAATTTTGAGTAGTTTGTGCATCTTAAGGAACATAAAAATCAAGATACAAGTTTAAAATTCATCTGAGTAATAACACCATTACAGAGACTATAGTAGATAAGATTTTCATATGCCATACAAAGACCGAATTTCTTTCTTTCATCTCAAGTGAGAATGCTTTTAGCTTCTAATAAAATTAACGACCAGATTCTGTCATACTTACTCCTGGGTAATCGCAGTGAGATTTCAGTTACTTAACAAGCATAAATGAATAGCGTCTGGCTCTTAGCAAGTACTCCTCAGTGCAGCAAAACTAACAGTCTGAGGGATTCTGTGTTACACTTAAAAGGCATTAGCTTTGCAAAGGATGAAGTCTGATTCATCGTTTTGTGAACACTGATGAGTCCTTGTAGGTGTGGGTTTCACTCTTCCCATCTGAAGACACCCTGCAGTTTACTGAGGGCTGTGAAGCTGTGTGAATGAAGGCATAACCTGTAAGTTTTAATTGCAAATATGAGGATTGTAACCTAGAACTTACAGCACTTTTTAATCAAATTTCAAAGTGGCCCACAAAGGAAGATAAAATTATTGCCTTCGTTTTACAGATGAAAAATGGAGCTACAGGAAGAGAAATTATTTGCATTGCAGGCATCTAGCAGGCTAACAGCAAAGTCAGAACACAAAACTGAAGACTTGTTTGGCATTCCATACACCAATCCACATTATCTATCAACTTTTTTTCTTGACAGGGTTGCTGCAAATTGAGTTGAAGACGAGAAAAACTTGCTTTTGGCGTCATCAGAAGGGAAAGCCAGATACATACCTTTCCACAATAGAAGCAATTTATTATTTCCTTGTGGACTACCATCAGGAGATTTTGAAAGAGAACTACAAAGGACAATATGATAATCTGCTTTTTTTCTTTTCATTTATGTACACATTGATTAAAAATGCCAAGTGTTGTGCAGGAAAAGAGTAAGATGTCTGTCTATAGGTGAGTAACACTACATCTTATTTTATTTTATTTCTATTGTAATAATAAGCTGCACAAGTGTAACTATTTTTATCTAACTGAAACCTGGAAATAGGTTGTACTCTTAGCAATGGCTACAGTACTTGTCCAAAAGTAAGCTGCAGACCTCATGTCCTGCACACTTGAGGATGAGCAGTCTGATTAGAAATACTGACTTGAGAACAGTTATGCTTTGCTAAGTATTGCTGTGTTCGAACCTACAGACCTGAGCTGCTCATCACAGGGAGATTATGTCCTGAGAGGAGGAAGACCTGGTCCCTCTTGCCATAAGGAGTGATCTCTCTAATTGTAAAAAGGAATTAGCGTACTAGCTTCTTATTATTATTATTATGATGATTACTAATACTTTATTTCAGGTGTTCTCTTTGTTTTTTACTCAATAATACTGATTTCACTTTCATAACATGAAAAGCTTACTGAAATTTTTAGGATCATATTTAATTTGAGGGGAGCGGGGCAGCAATACAAAATAAAAGACTGTTAATAGAATATAAATTATGTACTTTCAAGATTAATTCTGGAAGATTGTTCTAGTAATAGAAAAGAGTGATCTCTTTAAACCTCATTACACAGTGTGTGACTTCTATAGTACCATTCACATGCTGTTAAATTAAGATTATTCTCAACTTCTTGGGTCATTTTAGACTTCTTCAAACAAATTAATGTCTTTTATTATTATTATTATGCAATATTATTATTTTTGAGAACACTAACTTAACAAATGTCACTAGGACATACCATAGCCACTAAAATTTTTTAATTGCCACATACTTGTATTCTAAGCAGCAGAAAGGGCTCATTGCACTGTAGGAGTTGTCTGAAAACGTAGAGATTTTGCAGGACAAAGTAATTTGCAGAGACGAGAAATAGGGAAGATGATGGTTCTGACCTGACTTCCTGAAATTAGGCAGACTATGAATCTGCTATGTTTTTTCTTTTGCAGTAAGAGTGCAAATTTGAACAGCATAAATAAGACTTTTTCTACACTGATGAAATTTTTGCTGGTATGTGTAGCACTGCTGGCAGAGTCATCCCATGTGAATGTAATTATACAAGCGTCTTTGCCAAGCTATACTGTACAGCTAATGCTGGCAAAGGTAATAGACCTAAACTATAGCTTTACAAGCAGAGTTATACAAATATATTTTCATCATACTAGGATGTTCTGCCAGAAAAATTAATGTTGGTTAAAATTATAGTCTTAAGGTAGAAGAAAAAAATGTTACATTAGAGGTACGATATAAAATGGAAAAGTATTTCTGAATAGTCTCAGAAGTGTGTTACTTGAGAAAAAAAAAATAGATCTTGAAGTGACACAGATTGAAAAATTGTAATAGATTATTTTTTAAACAAAAATTCTGAAGTTTTTGTTGTGTTTTCCTCAACAAATCTGACTAAATTATCACCTGTAGCATACTCTCCAGGAGGTCACGCTCACCCTGGTGAACAGAGAAACAGTGCCTTGAAAAATCCTTCAGGAAAGTCTTTTTACATTTACACAGCAATCCATTCAGGCTCAAACAACTAGTTCGTACTATGTTTTTTAATGCTTCAAGATACTGAAATCCAAGTTGATGTTGTTTAAAACACAAGATACAAATACATGCTCTCTGCAAGTCATACTTATCTTCAGATTTGTATGTTTATATGCATGAGTGAGTGCATATAAAAATGCATTTCAGTGCACAACCAAACCTCCTCCATTTGCAAAAAGAAGTGCTAGTTAAGTTACGTGAGTGCACATGAAGTGTGCATGACCTCTAATAGCGCCATGAGAAGCACAGGCTTGAAGTCAGAATGAGAAAGATTGGTTTTAAGTGCACATACATAATGGCACAGCTGTTAAGTATATTGTGAGTTCATGTGCCAGGCAATGAGAAAAATCAGCAGTCATGTCTCAGTGCTGTTGAAACAACACGTTTCTTATTCATTTGGTTCTTATTTCTATTGAGAGTTATTTTGACTTTTTACAATGATTAATGCTATTTCCTTTGGTATGAATTTTGATAGTCTTTTGACATTTCCATCTGTTCTTGTATTTCTTAAAGATTGCTGTAATATTTTTTTAAATATCACATAAGTTTAATAGCTTGAGAAGGAAACTTTCACCCACTTTAAACAAACAAAAATAAAATGAACCCACTGACCTAGTGTTTTACAAGAACCAGAGAAAAATCGGGGGGGGGGGAAAAAAAAACATTTCCCTGAAAACATGTTTTTTTATTTAAGAAGCAGAGGTCAGATAAAAGCTTATATAAGCTGTTCTTTGTTACTTTTGGAAAATAGTTTCATAAGGTTAAAAATGGTTTCCAAATTTAAGTTTTGTGTACCTTGCTTTATTTGAACAATGGGAATTAAGAATCCATTCCATAAGTAAATTAATTTTAGTTCTCAGGTGAAATCAGTGCACAGAAAAGACTTTATATCTGGAACACTGTGTTCAGGAATTGGGTTCTTTTTCTTCCAGTGAAACCTCAGCATAATGCAAGAGTCATTCTTACATCAAGTGACAGAGGCACATCTAATATCCATAATTAATTATGATCTGTTGATATTCCTCTGATATCCTTTTATGAGGACAGGAAGGAGGTTATTGTCACTTCTGCTGCAAATCTGTTCTGTCTGAGCAGCAGATGTAGTTCCCCCTTCTCTCCTGTCTCCTGCTTTCCCCTCTGTAAAATAATTTGAACCCTGTATTTAATTTCAGTACTGGTATAAGGTGGCAAACGAACCAAGTCATCCACCTCACACTGGAAATGTCTCAATACCACTGGTACATTTATCCAGCTTTGAGACTAAAGAATAGTTTTGTTCCACCAAAGGAAAGCAATCAAGTGGTTAATCCTTTCAAGTGCAATTAACAGCACTGACCTCCCTGTTCTTTAAAATTAGGGTCATGGGGAGGTAAATGCCAGTTCTGGGCCTTTTCTTTCATATCAGAATACCCCTGCACTAACTATCTCTTCTGTTTCCAAAAACATCAGAGAGCAAGGGGAAAAGCAGGCTTCCACTTCCATTAGCAGTAACTTAAACAGCCATCAGTTAAAGGGGGAGGAAAAGGAAGAGCATCTCTATCTATCTCCTTTCACAACAGAAGACATCTGGCCTCCCGTGGGGAGGCCCCAGATAACAAAGAACCTGTCATTATGAACCTCCGAGATGTGTTCAGAGAACCGTTTTACCTGCAGTCTGGCTCATTCATTTCCTGCCACTGAAGCCATCTGCTTTTGCTTATTGTGGGTATTTTTGGTCTCTGTTTGGCCAGGAACATGAAGTGGCTTCACTTTAGCGTGCCTGTATGCTTGGTCAGAGGGAGGATTTAATCCTTTTCTTGAAATGAATAAGAGAGGGAGCTGCAAAAAAACAATTCCTTTCCTGGAAGGTAGCACGAAAGTCATCCAAGCCAAGGTCGAATAAAGGGTTGTGTCAGTGCATGCAGTAAAGATACATGGAGATTGAAAAGAGATGGCAACTTGGAATCTACGGCAGAACCTCCCAAAGCACTTGTAATCTCACCTGATTTAAAGCTACTGCTTCTTGAAATTTTGTTTCCAATTTGAGTCCATCTGGTTTTCCACATAGGCTTCTTCAGCCTCAATTGCAGAGTACTACAGTGATCCGTTCCTTCCTCTTCTCTCGTGTTGAGTTTCAGTATTTTGCCTGAATGTGTTAAAAATCAGTCTATCTTCATCAGTGATGGTCTTGTTTACTATATAAAATGTAATGTGATGTGAAAATCCATTCCACCAATCACTGTCTTTGAAAATACCAAAATAAGGAGGGGAGAAAACTTCCTCTTAGTTTCCCATTGTTTACTATAAGACAGTTCGGACACTCCCAGGTAGCACTGACTCGTGTCTCAAAGTATTCCAAAAAGCTGCGCATCAGCTAAGTTCATCAAACTTGTTTTGCGACACAGAACTTAACGGTGACTGCAGCAGTGTTGAAACAGGAAAGCTTCCCACTCGGATGGAAAGATCATGTGTCAGTAGGATGGTGATATATCAATACTAGAATATGAGGTCATCTATTGACGTACTGAATGACTCAACATAGTTCCTGAACTGTTATCCCTTGTCTCGAGAGACATTATTTTATTAAAAATCCAATGCTTTCAATAGTAGGAATGTTGATTTTGACTGGTGAGACTTAGTAACACCAACATTCAAAGTATTCATATGAAAAATTTACAACATTCTTCTTGTTCCCTTGTTGGGAAAGATAACACCGTGCTGCCATTTTATGGATTCTGAAGAGAAATCAGATATTGTAGAATTTTGAAAGTAGTGTATCACATTAAACTTCAAAAATACGCATACTGATGTGGTTTCTTTACCACTATCTGCCAGAAAAAATATTAAAACAGTTCTGGAGTCCCACAGCAAGAGGTGGGAGCTACTCTAATGCAAAACAGACTTAGCATTTTCACCTCACCGAAAGTGGAAATTTTTGTCTAAGTTTAGCAACACTAGTGCTGTTATCACATTCAAATCAACTGTGATTTTACTGCTGACTTTTCAGGCTACAGGTGTTGCAGTAGGATGTTTAGAAACACGTCACAAAAGAGTGAACACAGAAGAGAGTGCTTCACATCAGTATACCCAAGATTGAGTCCTACTCGACCTGTGATCCGTGTGCTTCACTTCCCTTACCTGTAAATTTAATTTCTGCCTCTGTACAACACTCTCTACATATGAAGCTGGGCCCATAAGCCAGTTGAACTCAGCATGAAATCCAAAGGCTGAGTATTGTTATTTGAAGATTCTAATGGTAAAATTTCTGCTTTTCCAACAACAGGGATAGAAGAGCTATACAGAGGTACGCATACCTGTGCAAATATGAATACATACATACCTCCCTCCTACTGATAAATGCATTAGGGTGCAAGCCAAAGATTTTCTCCTTTGCTGTTTCTGTCTTACAGAGTACAATGATAAAAAAAAGTATTCTTTAATTTTGTGAACTGATAAACTGTTTTGTGTACAGAGCAAATACGTACTTTAGACACAGAC